ACAGGCGATTGTTTGTTTGAAGTTATGCACAAAGCTACACAATGGGCTATTTGTGCTCTGCCCACCACGGGTATCGAAACCCGTTTTCTAGTGTTGTAAGTCCGCAGACATACCGCTGTGCTACTGGGGGCACAACAAACGATTAATCATTATTACCATAGAAATAGTTATTTACAACAGATAGAAAACCCTATTATTAACTAGGAAATATTTTTTCACAACGGACAGAAAACCCCCTATTTACTAGAAAATAGTTAACTTTGTAATTATTTTCTATAACAGATGTAAAAACAATTATTAAGATGGGTTTGATTATCCATAAATTCATAATAAACGTAGAACCCATTATTAACCTAGGAACAGGTATTTACAACATACGGAAAACCCATTACTAACTTTTGAATAGTTACTTATAACAGACGGATAACATATTATTAAGTTTGATTCGGTTAATAAAACAAACGGAAAACCCATTATTAATTTGGGAATAGTTATTAATAACAGACGAAAAATAAATTATTAATTTAGCAATAATTATTTTCAATAGACAAATAACCCATTATTAATTTGAGAATAGTTATTTACAATAGACATAAAATCCACGATTAACTAAAAATGGTTACTTACGACACATAGAAAACACGTATTAACTTGGAGACACCTGTATACAATAGTTGGAAATCTAACTATTAACTAGGAAATATATATAAGAGATGGAAAATCCATTATTAACTAGTAAACAGTTATTTGCAAAATATGGAAAACCCATTATTAACTTGATATATATTTGCAATAGACGGAAAATCAATCATTATTTTTGAAATAATGATTTACAAAAACCCATTATTAACTTGGGAATAGCTATTTGTAAAAGACTGAAAACTCACTGTTGACAATAAAATAGTTATTTAAACAAATAGAAAAACCCATTACAAATTGAGAACGGCTATTTTTCACAGACGGATAACTCACTATTAACTTGGGTTTGGTTATTCATAACAAATGGAAAACCTATTATTCACTTATTATTTACAACAAATTAACAATAAGTAACGAGTATGTTGGTGATAAAACACCTGTATAAGGAAAAAGTGACCTACAAAATGATATTGTAATAAAAACGCACAGTATTGTTTAATAAGCCTATGAAAAAGACAGACCTTATTCAGAGTAACTAAGAAAAGTGTTACTGAGGTTTTTGGATACTTAATATTATTGGCAGAGTATTCTTGGAACATATCTTTCTTCCTTACAATTGATAGTCCATTATTCTTGTTCTCAATAAAACAGCTGTTTGTGTCTTAAAGTATGACGTTGTGTTAAAGGAAGTAGGTGCACATAAAGTTAAAGAAGTGCTCTAAGCCATTACTTAAATCTAACAATGTTCGGCTTGGCTGGATAGTACTGTGGCGACGGATAAAGACAACGAGATCAGTGGCGTCGCTCTGCTCATGCTGAGCGTCTGCCTTTAGAGGAGATCATGGTGTGATTTCGAACTTCATGGGCTGCAGTAGTCAGTATGTCTTGTGCAATGGAAAACTAACATTTACTACACACGCGCAAGACGTTTCTGCTTACGTGTTGTTTACGTGTTCGTTGAAAGACCAATATCGCGATCTTCCAGTTACGGAAATTGATACTTACATGAGTGCAAAACACATTCTCATGTTCTATCTCTTCTCACTGCTTGTGTTTTACTCGAAATCTATGATAAGGCAATTGATATTCCATTAAAAACAGTGTTTCAAACAACTATCTATCCCTGTCTATCTGTACATCTGAACACTGTTATTGGCAAAGTAACTTGAATATCTGAGCAATTTTTCCGACAACTAAATCAATCACCTTCGCTATTATATCAATATATATCAATCACTATGATTCGTGTTTCAATCTCACCCATTTATCGTTAATCATAATGAAACACAAGATGTCTTGCGACACGCCCCTTTTATTCTGAGTACCACTTCTAACAGGCGTGTATAATATAATATTCTAGTGTAGATGTTGAGAAATATCGCTCAAAACAGAGTGGGGCCTTTAAGAAACGGCTGTCAAAAGTAGTTTGTTTTTGAATTTCACAATGCTGAGCACATTACATCACAGTTTTAGTGTGTTACTTGAAAATGTTGAATGTTGAATTGAACATTACGATTACACAATTTAGTTGCTTAGAATTCTCATGTAAAGCTACACAGGGGCTATCTATGTATAGCTGTTTTTAATTTTGAACCGATAGACTAGATTTAAGGCACCTAGTCAACAGCAACCACCACTAACTCTTGGCTACTCTTGTCTGACCAAACATAGGAACTGACCGTCACTCTTATAGCACACCCACAGTCTCAGAGTTCGGAGTGCTTTTTTTTGGCAACGAGATATGAATTGGGCATGCTAACTACTAAGCCACGACATGCCCAAACTCGGACGAAGCAGTTGTCATACACATATTATCTGTCAATTTGTATTAGCTTCAGACGTTATTGCACTTATTTCGATTAGCTATTTTGTAAGTTTAACATTTACTTATTTTTTCATTAATATTGTGTTTACTAATTTTAGGACATTGCTATTTCTTTCTGAACTTATTGGACATTAGCTTTGTCTGTGTGTAAGACACTTTTAGAATTATCATTCCTTGAACGCTAATGTCAGCTTTAATACTGTTGAAACCGTATCTATGATAGTAACAATGTATGATTGCTAGTGTTAGCTTTAACATTGTTGAAACGTTTACTGTATATTAGTAAGTATGATTGCTGGTGTTGGCTTTAACACCGTTGAAACCGTAGCTATAATAGTAACAATGTATAATTGCTGATGCTGGCTTTAACACTGTTGAAACGTAAACTGTATATTAGTAAGTATGATTGCTGGTGTTGGCTTTAACACTGTTGAAACTGTAGCTATGATAGTAACAATGTATGATTGCTGGTGTTGGCTTTAACACTGTTGAAACGTAAACTGTATATTAGTAAGTATGATTGCTGGTGTTGGCTTTAACACCGTTGAAACCGTAGCTATGATAGTAACAATGTATAATTGCTGGTGTTGGCTTTAACATTGTTGAAACGTAAACTGTATATTAGTAAGTATGATTGCTGGTGTTGGCTTTAACACTGTTGAAACGTTAACTGTATATTAGTAAGTATGATTGCTGGTGTTGGCTTTAACACTGTTGAAACGTAAACTGTATATTAGTAAGTATTGATCGCTGGTGTTGGCTTTAAACGAGTTAGGACACTATTAATGACATTAGTGTTTTTTGATCACTAGAGGTAGTTTCAGCAAAGTTAGAACACTAATACTGACATTGTGCTGTGTTTAGATTAACGCTGATTTCAACAGTATATAGGAATACTCAGTATCTGATCTAATAGGTAGTTTAAAAGATGGAACTTAGTTTTAACCTTACAACAGATCATTTGATTAGTCATCTGACCAGTGAGGAGTGACAAAAATAATAATTTTGCTCAAGGGTGTTTAGTTTTGATCATTTCTTCGGTCACCGTATTTGATGAAATATAACTATTTTGAATTAAGGGCTTCTTCTCATTCATCATACTTTTCAAGAACACCACACTCTGGTGTGGGCAAGGATTATGCCTAAATTTTATACGTTTCATTTGAATTTCTGTCTATGGCAGAGCTACTAAGGTAATCTGCTGCCGTTCCTCATGTTGAACTACTGACCAGAAGGAATGTTTTTATTCAGCAGGACCCTATCACCTACCGTCCACGCTAGGTTTATTTTAGTTTAACTTGGTAGGGATTTCGGTTTAAGTCCTCTGATCCTGAATTCAAGAAGAATTCAGGGTCAGAGGAAACGGGAGGTGTTCAGAAAGTTATTTCTCTTCACCCATGCTTAGGGATTGGCCATCACTCTTATTAGGCACTCAGAGCTAAAAGCGGAGGGGAAGAACCTTAAATTTGGGTTGATACTTAATGTGAACCAATGGATGAGTCGTATATTTCTAGAATTACTAGTATACAATAACATAAAACATCTTTCGTCACTTTTGAAGGGCGTTTAAATGTTTTAGTTTTACAAGGTATTATTTAGGATTAAAGTATTTTTATTAACCCATCTAATCATTAAAGATCAGGTTAAGTATATGCATGTTCATTAGAGAAATAAAGTTTTTAAATCTGTGGCTTATTTGGGTACTGATCCTGATTGAGCAGGAAACGAAACTGGATTTTCCCAACGATATCATATGGACATCGCAGTCAAAAACACTCCTTCAGCTGTTTTGTAGTTAGTATGTTCAATCTGAACAGCTGAATATCAGACACACGGGTTAAACGGCCTTGTCAGAGAGTCCAAAGTTCGGTCTTAGCCTACCCTAATTTAGAGCTGATTGCAAAAGAGAGGAAACCAGTCAGAGCGCCCACCGCCTACCTGACTACTCTTATCCGTATAACAGGTTGACGCTCACAGGTGAAAGAACGGAGCGAATGTAGCTTCATATCTCGGGCTTTAACCTTGGGCCTACCAATACACAGCCTGACATGCTAATTATTAAATGTTGACAATATAAATACTCAAAGTAAATTTTAAAAACTTAAATTTTATAACAAAAGGAACGTTATTTGTATTTTATGTTTCTTTTATGTTTACAACTCTTACTCCTGAATTAGCTGATGTCGGGTGTCAAAAACCAAACGGTCACTGTGGTAAATCTTCAGTTTTCTAGTTACAACGTAGTTCTGCTTCAACATTGAGGTTTCGATTTTCTTCGAAGGTTTTAGAATATTTCGAATAGTTTATGCGAGTAATGCAGCATCGATTTTTTCCAAATACACAGATGAGACTTTGACCTTTATCAAGTTTCAACAAACTCATATGTAATATACTCCGTGGTCTCTTTTTTTCCCAGAATTTCAAAGAAATACAAACACATTTTTTGAATTATTTATTTCTAAATGCTTCAAGTTCAAGAATAGTGATTATTGTCGCACGTCAATGGAAAGATGATATAGGCAAATAAAAGGCTTACCACCACTAGTATTCCATCTCTTCGTTTTCATTGAGATTCGGTAATGGTTTTCGTTAAAACTAGAATTTGAGAAAGAAAAATATAGTTTTCTTTACTGCTGATAAATGTATGATATATATATACATAGACACATACTAATATTAACATCAATTTGTACAATCACTATTCAAATCGTCTGATACAATTTTAGGGTTTAAAATATTTAGCATACCATTAAAAGTTTTGAAAGAAAAGATTTAAAATGCGATATTTAGGCTGCTTTTAAACTAGCATAAAATGTTCATGGTGTTAGTGTATTAATGTGTGTCTCTCTTAATGTCGTACGAGTGATGTAGTTTTATTATGCACTTTAATTCTGAATTTATGTGATTACGTTCAGTGTTTTTTTCCTCCTAATTATGGAGTTAAATTAGTTTTCTGTTCTTTTTATTGAGCGTTAAATTATCCATAACTTGTGATATTCGGATGACGTAACACTGACTAGAGAGGACAAACATTTAAAGAAATAAAAGGGATTTTATGACTCCAGGAAATATCAGTTTCTTCAGCTGTACGTCACAACCAAGATTTTAACTGTGGTACAGTCTGAGAACTTGCCGAAGCTGTAAGGAGAAAAGTTGGGTATTTAGGCTAATGATAAGATCATTTCTTTCACACAGCTTATGCTTTTGTCTGTTGGATCTCGTGCAAAGTTCCACGATCGATATTTGTGCTACCCGTCTTTAATTTTGACGGCAACTGGTCAAAAGCACCCACCGCCAATCTTTGGTGTGTTCGAATGATGAGATTTGATCGCAATCTGTATAACACACCCATTACCTAAAAGTACGAAGCACGATTTTGTTTTCGGCGACAACGGGACTGGAACCACGGAAATCTCAGCTCCACAGTCCAGCGAGCTAACCATTGGGTCGCGCTTGATCTGATCACTTATGTGAAGGAGCTCTGTTGTGTCGAAACTTTTTAATGCGCTTTGGAATTGTTTATAATTCTATATTGAATACTGAACTGAAACGGAGAAACGATTTGCATCATTGATTGTAGGATTGTATACTTTTAGTTATATGTCTTACACCGTTTCGTTTTATAACATTGTAGGGCATTATTTTACGAAAACATAGATGGGATTTTCCTAACCATTTCTTAGAATAATATTCCAGTCTCTGAAGCATTTTAGTCTTATATATATTGCGAACCGTTCGAGCATTCGTCTGTTTCCCGTTTACGGCGGACGCTTCCCGCGCTGCGTTTGAAAAGCTGCGCACGTAGGCAAAGCTCAACATTCGTATTTGAAATGATAGAACGGGCATGAGTAATATTGACGTCATATCTCATTTCGCAAGTAGGATATTCTACACTAAATTGTTATGAATTAATCACACTATCATTCACATTTCAAAATGTGACGTAACTTAAAGAATAAAAATGTAGATTTACCGTATGTTATTGTTGAGCAGCTCTTAATTAGCATGACTGAAATGCTCAACAATTACTTTTCGCGGTGGGCGGTATAAGTAGCTCAGAGCTTTGGTTCTGAGTGAAACCAAGAGTGCAACATAACCTTTTCAAAGTCCGTGAAATAATTTAAGTTAATAGATTAATTTAAACCTTTCTTGTCACTGGGGACGGGTACTTTTGCTTGTGTTATACATAACTACATAGGTGTCAAAGCGTATCGTTTTGCTTTATTGGGGCTATAGTATTGTATATTAAATTGTTCTATATTATTGTATTTCTAGTTTTGGAAGTGACATCGTTGGTTTTTATTATTGTTTTAAAGTATTACATGTTGCAATGCCCCCCAGTGGCACAGCGGTATGTCTGCGGACTTACAATGCTAGAAACCGGGTTTCGGTACCCGTGGTGGGCAGAGCACAGATAGCTCATTGTGTAGCTTTGTGCTTCAAACAAACTTGTTGTAATTTTAATATTTTACATTTACAACACGGATGTTATACATAATAGTAACAATAAATCGTTTAAAACGTTTAATCGTTATATTAACTCGAATGTAATGGTTATTTCAACAGTAACTGTGTTAATAATGCAGTAAACAATTTACTAGAAGTATTACAGCTCAGTTTTAACGCGGTGGAAATGTATTTTTGGTATCTTTACATTTTCCTTCTCACTTTTTATTCTCTAAAGGCAACCTTTACTGATTCGTTTCTTTTTTATGAAGGCAGGTTTAATAAGCCCGCAAACGACCCATGAAGAGCGTCGAAATTTATGTCCAATGAATCAGTCTTTTCATGAGTGGGCTTTGTTGCTTAATAAACCCGTTAAGGGTTTAAAACTATTTTCAATAAATCTAGACATAATATATCAACGTAGTGAAAACGTGTTTTGAAATTATTTCGTATTTACACATGTTTCTGGATTACTTTCGTGTAAAATTGTGTAGTATTTCAAACTGGTATTAAAAACTTCATAAGTATTGAACCTATTCTGTCGGTTTCAAATTGCCGTATTTATACTGTTGTGTACCACTGTTCTCATATTTCGTTTAAGTAGGTAGAATTCTAGCCATTGACTTGGGTAATCCTTCCATCGTTTAAGTGGGTTCTCTTCCAATCACCTACGTGAATAATAAGTAGCCTAATCATTAATCTATCATTTACGTGTGTAATCTTATCATCTACGTAAGTAGGCTATTCCCCTAATCCATCATTTACGTGGGTAATCTTTTTATCATCTACGTACGTAGTTTAGCCATTAATCCATCATTTACGTGGTTAATCGTCTTATCGTCTACTTGAGTAGTCTAGTCATTACTTCATCACTTACGTGGTTAATCTTCTTATTGTCTACTTGAGTAGTCTGGTCATTAATCCATTACTTACATGGTTAATCTTCTTATCGTCTACTTGAGTAGTCTAGTCATTACTTCATCACTTACGTGGTTAATCTTCTTATCGTCTATTTGAGTAGTCTGGTCATTAATCCACCGTTTACGTGGTTAATCTTCTTATCGTCTATTTGAGTAGTCTGGTCATTAATCCACCGTTTATGTGGTTAATCTTCTTATCGTCTATTTGAGTAGTCTGGTCATTATGGAAACAACTAACTTGATGTAATGTAAAAAAAAAGTATGCTTATTATATTATATTTAGCCCACATTGATACTTCTAACGTGAATACCTGTGCTCAGCTGCAAAGTTCAACCCCCCCACATGATTCACAGAGGCTTTAATGTATCGATGAAACTCCTCCATTATCCCAAATTAATTCTATAGCTAACCCAAGGAGCTCCATACTCGAAAGCAACTCCTGTCAGTGCAATCACCTGTAGTACCTGAACACATGTTCCATGTTTGGTCCTGCTAAGTTTATGAGTGGGTGTTGAACTCAAATGTAGCATTCCCGCATTCCAAGGTGAAGCAAGAACACAAAATCTGATACCAGATTCTGGTTCTGCGAACATAAAAAGCTACTACTAGGCCTCCATCGTGCATGGGTATTCTTTCACGTACATTTTAGCCCCCCCCCTCCCATTGACTACACTATATTGATAAAGACACACCCTGATTTACTCCGAGTCCGTCTGCTAAGTTCGGTCTTACTAGCTTCAAAAGTTGGGGAAGAGTTTGCAGACAAACAAGTTCACAAACACAATGTAAATTAACATGGAATAAGCTAAACAAAGCAATTAGAGGATAAATGGGATTTATAACATTTTAGCCATGATAAGATAAGACCACTGTTGAAAAATAATGTTAGTTACTTCTCTCATTATGTGATTCATCATGTGACTGAAATATAAGCGACTATTCGTTCAACCTACGTTCGCTTGTAAGTGAACACTTGGGAGAAATACGTGTACATCTTTACAGTTTATGTTATTTCACTTCAATATGACGTATGGTCACCATGAACAGTAAGAGCAGTTTCATATTGATGTTACATGCATGAACCCAAGGTGTTGATAATGTCATGATGTATCCGTAACAGTTCCTCTGAAAGAACTACTTCTAGAGCAGGGGAGCCCAGTACGTAGCTCGACCGCATGTTACTTGAGTAGCTGTTTCAAGTGGCTTGTGACAGCGAGTCACGTAAAAGAAACCATTAATTTGTTACTGAATACAGAACAAAATCAGATAATTGCTTGCAATCTAGTCACGTAAGCCAGTGAATCAATAATGCGAGTCGAATCTTGTTTCCAATTCTGAATGTGGCTTTCGGCCACAAAAGGTTGGGGACCCTTGTTCTAGGGCATCTTTGGTATCTGGAGTCACTTGGCGTGATGTGACCCAAAAGCTTCCCGCCCATGCTAGATGGGATTAAGGACTGGTAAACGTGAAAGTTATTGCATTCAATCAGTTATTCTTCAAAGATTGGGTCAGCCAGTTTAACGCTGTGGAAGGCAGGTGTTGTTATTCATTAGGCTAAAGGCAGGCGTTATTACTCATTAGGCTAAAGGTAGGTGTTGCTACTCATTAGGCTAAAAACTGGCGTTATTACTCATTAGGCTAAAGGTAGGTGTTATTACTCATTAATCTAAAGGCAAGCGTTATTACTTATTAGGCTAAAGGCAGGACCAAATTCATTAGCATGTGGCAGAGCAAAAGATCGTGGGATGTAGTGTAGCATTAATGGTACCATTCTTAAATATGTAGAAGCCAACACGACCTCCAACGCTTGTTCTTGCTAACTCCATTCTTCTACCACTGTCGTATGCGTCACTTTTGAATGAGATTTAGGATTATCTACAAATGAGTATTTGTCTGTTGCCTCTATTTAGAATGAAAGGCAACTTGTCGGTAATAGAATATTGCTCCATGTGTTGTTATTCCACTGAACGATCTTGGAAATCATTCTAGACTGGCTGGTGCCTAGCCGTAAACAGAATGTACTCACTGAAAGTCTGACATGCAATTCAGACTTATGAAGTTTGTATCAACCTTCTCTAGACTGACATGCAGAAGTTGTGGCTTCGAACGTCTGATTCAGTGTCGGACCAGTTACCACGACAGATAGTAATCGTCTGCTAATGTTGTTGATGAAGGTCAACCCTGTAGAGCTGTTTGAGCACCTATACTATTAGTTTGGAAATTATCCCGTATTCTGTTAACGGCACCTTAAAACACTGCCAATTGTGATTAGCCCTCTTCTATTTATCTGATGTCTTTTCAGATGAGCGGAACATCAGCATGTTTCCTAGCCATATCTCATATGCAATATGAAGGGTATTAATCCGCGTAATTCGTTTCAAAATGGCGGTTGAGACAAGACCGTGTGAAACCACTATATATTTAGCATAGGTTGAATGACCAATCACTTACCTTTCAAATCGGCCCGGCATGGCCAGATGGTTAGGGCGCTCGAATCGCAATCTGAGGGTTACGGGTTCGAATCCCGTCCTACTAAACATGCTCGCCCTTTCAGCCGTGGGGGCGTTATAAGTGACGGTCAATCCCACTATTCGTTGGTAAAAGATGTAGCCTAAGAGTTGGCGGTGGGTGGTGATGGCCTTTTCCTCTAGTTTTACACTGATAAATTAGGGACGGCTAGCGCAGATAGCCCTCGTGTAGCTTTGCGCGAAATTCAAAACAAACAACGAAACAAACCTTTCAAATCACTTGACTGACCATCATATATTTGATTTGTATAAAAATTAATGTTGGAGGCGATTAACAGTGGTGATTTTGTTAGCTTATAGTTGTTATATTATATATTTCGATTATACTTTAATTGTTTTGTGCATTGTATAAACTGACACAAAATCATTTGTATTTTACACGCAGTTTTGGAAAAGAAAGGAAATAACTTAAATTCAAGTCTAGAACTTAACTGATAATCTTTGAAGTGAAAAGCTGGGAATAAGCTATCTACCATTTGTTAGTTAACTAGGATTTTAAACAGATTTGAGAAACCAGAACTAATTTTCTCCTAATCAAAAATCTATATAAAAAAGAAAAAGAGTATCAGATATTTACAAATGAATGAAAACCCTATAACCCGAGCGCTTTCGTAAGGTGGAAATTTCTTCTTTAGGGGCAAACTGGGAATTTACAAAGGTTTCCACATTTTTTCCTGAGATTTGTTACTACTCTCTACGTTTAAGAGTTGAACTTTCTTCAAAATACTACGTAAATTATAACAACAATTATATAATATGAATATGCAAGGTAACATTGTTGAAGTGTATATGAACCATCACGTGGCAATCAAAAGGATCCAATTGTATCAAATACTAAATATTTTCATAAATGTACAGTACTGTTATGTTAAACATCTCATAATTATAACGGACCAAGTGGGCATAGTGGTTAATGTAACAAGACTGAGTATCTGAGAATTTATGGTTCAGTGCTCGTTATTGCAAAAACATTATATGAGTGACACCCAATGTTTGATCAGAAAAATGAAGTGTAAGAGTTGGCGGTAGGTTCTGTTGACTGGCTGCCTTCCCTTCAGTCTTACAGTACAAAATTAGCGACGGCTATGCGCAGGTAACTCGGGGATGGCTTTGCGCGAAATTCTGAAACAAAAAGAAAAAACAACAACACTCAATTATCGTACTTTAATAGACGTAGTGTGTATATATGTATCTATCTATGTATGTGACCGAAATGATAAATGCAGTGTGACGTCATCTATAGAACGGCACCGAAAACAAAAATCCATAATAAAATTACACTTTGGGTATTCAAGGTTCAGACAATTAGAAAAATAACTGTAGTATGTGCAACAACCATTTCTTTAACACAGAACACAACTTTAAATAAAAGTACTCTCTTCACAACAAGAACAGAACTTTCACTAGGACTGTATGTGAGGGTTTGATTATATCTTTATTGATGTAATTTGTAAATATAGTATTAAAATGGAGTTTTAAAAACTGTTGTTTTTCAATAAAGGGTACCACTTTTAATATATAAAAACATTACAATTTATATCAGCACAATCCGAGCAATTTTCCCGTGCAGTATTTCTCGGAAAAATCGTGTTTTTTAGAAAATGTTTTTTAATCAGGTATGAATACTACTATTAGTAATTACTAACAGCTGCCCGTAGGGTGGCATTTCTGCTAGTAAATGCAATACTCAATCTGATGGCGTTTTTTGAACAGATTATCACAAACGCTTGCTTAGTTTAATAACTTATTATCATAAGACAGTCAAGAAATGACATACATTTGGATGGTACACATATACAAACATTACCAAACTTTTTATAGTCTAAAATCAGTTATAAGCCAATCTTTTCCTCAGAGTTTTGTGTTAAAGGATATAAATGCACGGAAATGCATTAAATAAGTATCCTATATTACACGATGGACAATTAACAAACAAAGCTATCATGTGTGCTTTTTTAGAATAATAAAGCGAGCGGCTCATAAATATAATTCATTTTGAGCAAAGAAAAAAAAAGAACCAGTCGTTAGAGAAAGCCTTTCTTCCAGTGCTGTAAACTAGTACAGTTTGATACTTGAACTATGACTGTTTTTAGTATACTACTTAAACGAAAATCTCGCTTGAGGGCGCTACTCAGTTTAATCTTTGGTTTTTGTCTCAGTAATGCATTTCTTTGGATTTTGAGGTTGGTTAATAATGTTATAAAACAAAATTATCAGGTTAGCTTAAATATAAGTCTGATGTTACATTACTTTCCAAAGCCTGCAAACATTTCATAAACAGCTTAAATAAATCTACATACAATTTATTATATTTAGTTGACTTCAAATTATTGAAAAATAAAACAACTTCTAATAATAAATATAACATCTATAATTTCCTTAACTGTTATAAAAAATAACAAACGCAGTACCTTCAATTTAAACTGTTGTAATTACATTACACTGTTATCATTGTTGACAAATAGAGAAATTCTTTTTAACTTGTTAAAGCTATTCAGCTGCAGGTAAAACTGTTTATCCTTAACTAGAAGCACTTTCAATTGTTTCTCCTTAACAAGAGTCATTGTTAATTGTTTCTCCTTTACAAGAGTCATTGTAAATTGTTTCTCCTTAACTAGAGTCACTGTTAATTGTTTCTCCTTAACTAGAGTCATTGTTAATTGTTTCTCCTAAAATAGTGTCACTTTTAATTGTTTCTCCTTAACTAGAGTCACTGTTAATTGTTTCTCCTTAATAAGAGTCATTGTTAATTGTTTCTCCTTTACAAGAGTCATTGTAAATTGTTTCTCCTTAACTAGAGTCACTGTTAATTGTTTCTCCTTAACTAGAGTCATTGTTAATTGTTTCTCCTAAAATAGTGTCACTTTTAATTGCTTCTCCTTAACTAGTGTCACTTTTAATTGTTTCTTCTTAACTAGAGTCACTGTTAATTGTTTCTCCTTAACTAGAGTCATTGTTAATTGTTTCTCCTAAAATAGTGTCACTTTTAATTGTTTCTCCTTAACTAGTGTCACTTTTAATTGTTTCTTCTTAACTAGAGTCACTGTTAATTGTTTCTCCTTAACAAGAGTCATTGTTAATTGTTTCTCCTAAAATAGTGTCACTTTTAATTGTTTCTCTTTAACTAGAGTCACTGTTAATTGTTTCTTTCTAACAAGAGTCATTGTTAATTGTTTCTCTTTTACAAGACTCATTGTAAATTGTTTCTCCTTAACAAGAGTCACTTTTAATTATTTCTCCTTAACTAGAGTCACTGTTAATTGTTTCTCCTCAACAAGAGTCATTGTTAATTGTTTCTCCTAAAATAGTGTCACTTTTAATTGTTTCTCTTTAACTAGAGTCACTGTTAATTGTTTCTCCTTTACAAGAGTCATTGTAAGTTGTTTCTCCTTAACTAGAGTCATTGTAAGTTGTTTCTCCTTAACTAGAGTCATTGTTGCTATAAAAATAATAATAACTATAAAGTCAGCGTATACGTAGAAGTTACCTCACAAAAAGTTGTTGTTTTAACAAGATGGCTAACGACATAGTTGCTGTTTTAGCGGATTCAGCTGACGAGAGATTAACAAGCTTTTTAAAACTAATCCAACTCACAGCCCCTTGCACAAACAGAACTTATCTCACGACAAAACTGTTGTTTCAACAGATGGCTAACAACAAAGGTTCTGTTTTAGGGAAGTGAATTAATGAGAAATTAACTGGTTTAAATAATAAGCTATATGAGTAAAGGCCCCGCGTAAGAATAATTTATATGGTGACGAGCCGAGTCAACAAACTAGAGATTAACTTTCCTATAATAAAAGTAAGTTTCATCAAATTAGCTGACAATAAAGATGCAGTCTTAAGTTTGGTAGTTGTTGATTTAACTGTATAAACACACACACAAAAACTGGTGAAAGATAAAACATCTAGCAACGGGGGAAGCCATAAAATTATGTATTACAATTACGATATTTAGTTCCAAACTTTTCAGTTCTAAACACATATGAACATAATATAAAATCTAGAATTTCACATATTGAATTCTTGTAACTAGAGGAATTAAAAATGTTTTAATTATTTAGAAACTGAGCTTATAGAGGTAAATACTGATAGTTGTTAACAGGTCCGTTTTCATTTAAAGATCTACTATAGGGCGTATTCTACAAGCGTTTCAGGAGGTAGAAGCGATGAAAAATCTAAAAACAGAAGTGCCAGCTTTGATTACATGGACTCTAATGCTATTTAGTTAAAGTGCTTATAGGAAGAACTGTGTCAGAATCTAAAGAATGCAGCTACTGAGCAAAATGGCCTAAAGATATAGCCTTCGATTTCAATGAATACTTTATTTTCACTACTTATTATTGATTTTAAATACCCCTGAAAATTTGATGATTAAAAAAGTTACAATTTACTCCTTACTTACGTGAGGCTCCCTATTTATTTTGTTACAACTTACAGGTGGCAAACACAGCAACCCTCACAAGTAAGACTGTATTTCCAGCCGTCCACACGTGATGGTTGAGCGCAATTTTTCTAGCTGGGAATTAGAAACCACACCATGGTAATCTATTATTTGTTCCTCCCTAGACGACGCGACCAAGTTACAATTCCGAACCTTTTAAAGACAGCTATGACAGCACAACCAGCTCGAGTGTTTGCTTCGCTCAAGGAAACAGAAGCTATAGCAGTTGCTAAGCAACTGTTAACGTCAGGTGCACGACACTAGCCCCTGTGGTAGCTTTGGAAACAGCCTGTGGAATAGAATATTGTTAAAACCTTATTCTATTACATCAAATATCGTCTCGGAACCCAAGCAGTGTTTTATTAACGCAAACCATGTTGTTTTTCTTAGTTAGTAAAGCTAGACAGAGAAGCTGTAGCATATCTGAAGGTAGGACCCGGAACTTTCTCGATAAAACTGTTTACCCAGGTATACACTGGTGATTGGATAAAATATTGATGATGAAACCTGTGTAATTAGAGCTTATTTTATCAGCTTCAATTAAACTATTCTCAAAGGAGAACATAAAACCTTCATAACTCGTAATAATATCAAATATACATATGTATGTTATAAATTAATAAAATAAAAATGACAAAATAAGCAGTTAATGTTTTTTTTTGTTAACTTTTGTAGCATTTTCGTAGTTCCAGATTATCATTTAGCTTTATGAACATTTTAATACACCCAAATAACAATATAATAAAAAAAATCCCACATGAAATTAAAATACTGAATTCAAAACATATATCCAGTTTATAAAAACATCATAATTGGCAAAACATAATCCAAAAAATACTAACGCACATTTAAAAATTACAATTCTTGAGCATAAGCTTTCCGTATTTCAGTCTTTTTGAAAATTGCTACGTTTCTTAAAGTGAAAACAGGAAAATATACGGAGTGTTTGGAACAAGGTATTACACTTTTTGTTGGATTTCTCACAAGAAATGTATGTGGATTTAAGTTAATTTCAATATGTTCTGATTGACCAACGTATTTAATTACAAATGTATAGGTAGAAAGATTTATAAAGCTTACCTTACTGTTTTATTAAGTTTTAATATATAAAGGAAAGAGAGCATGAAATCACCTTATGTTTGAATATAGTTTTAAAAGAATCACTCAACTAGGCTCAAAATAAAAATAAACATTGTAAAGAGTATAAAGAATAATTAAACAAAACCACGTTACAAATTAGAAAGTGGGAATGGTATACTGGTGTTTGAAAAATGAGTCACACAGTGATGGGTACATATCATCTACCTATTAGAAGCTGGTATTGGCGCTGAAGCCTAAAATGATTCACATCTAACATTGCACATTTATTGTCTGCAGCAGTCGAACGTTCTGACGTATTCATCTGTTTCGTTGAAATATTGCTAACCATGAAAACAAAAATTCACTTTTGTTTTTTTTACCGTAACTCGGAAATACCACATGAAAACTAACTCTATATCCATACCACGCCCTTTGGTTGACCAAACTTTCGATATTGTATCTAGCTATAGTAACTACATTTTGGTGAGTTAGATACAATTTGAAACAGCAAAGTTAAAGAGGTATTATAAAATTGATGGTAAACAAACACGTTAATTGGAAAGGCAACTAACTGATAAAATAACAACATTTTTCAATAAATTCTATTTTAAATGCTTTTTTATAGATATTGTTTCAATTTATAATGCCAAAAATATTTAATAGCAGTCGTAAGAATTTTAAATTAAGTATTAGCAAAACAGAAAAAGAAAACTGATTAGAATAGTACAAAACAGTTCAATTATCGTTGCAGTGGCTTTTAAAGATTTTTAGGTTCAAATAACATAGAATGATAGAATAAAAGAAACAATGCAAAACTACAGCATAGAAATAATACACATTAGCGTTAAATTCCCCATAATTTGCGCTAAGATCTAAGGATAGAAACAATTACAATTTTTGAAAGTCTTATAAAGCTATTAACCACTCAGAATGCAGTTTTAACCTGTTTAACTTGTCTTCTGAAATCAAATTATTGCATACTTCACTTGTTGAATATCCTTGACTTTTTATGATAATTATTTCGTTAGAAAAAGTCCAGTTATTTTGATTTCTAGATACTTAGAATACTGAGGATTAATCACACTTTAAACTTCTGATGGCCTTAGAACTATTTCCTTCGTGGTCGATCGTCATTCTATTGTTTATAAATATGCACTATTTACTGACCGACGCTCTAATTTTCATTCTAACAAGCTTCTGTAAGGAACGATGTGATCAGTTTTAGACCAAACATCATGAGAAACCTACCACAGACTTTGACTTACCATTCCATTATCATGTTTAAGCAGGCTAAAGGCACAGACAGAAGTTAGTTGGAGCTGAATCGGGAAACCTTACAGATACGTGGTCGAATATGATTGCTGTGATTCTAGTTACTATTATGAAGTTAGGTGTATGGTAACATCGGTTGAAGTTGAGAGAATGTGAGAAAACGGCCAACCTTTGGTCAATTTATAAGGATTTAGGGGATTATAATACTCTAAGTTATTAAAAAAATTATTGGAGTTAGCGGTTATAGCTGCCGCTTTTCTAAGTTCGATGGATTTGGAGACTACAAGATCCCCTATGGTTATGAAACGTTATAAACTGATATACACGAAACAGGTACAAAGCCAAAAAAAGAAAGAGAGCAATTCAGCATGGGCTTTAGAAAGGAGTTCAATGAAAGAAAAAAAAACTAGAGTAAATCCTCAATAGTTGTGGCACTTCAAATTCTTTTAGGTAGGATTAGAGTAAATTAATGTATGACACCTTTTTTCCCCTTTTTCTTAGCTATATTTTTTGTGTGCCAGCAATACCCGATTCAGTTTTGCTGCTCATCAGGATATCTACCAGCCTACTCTCAAATTGAAATTATTTTAGGCAGGATTAGAGTAAATTAATGTATGACACCTTGGGCGTGGTCAGATATATCAATCAAAAGGGTT